GAGTACCCAGTGAAGGCTAAATCAGTCATAATTGATCTAGCGAGACAATCTTGCTAACCATTACACCACGTCTTAATACGCAATGATAGCGGAATATAGATTAATATGAATGCGGCTAAAGGATTTGTCGAATAATTTATCCAAATGGACAGGGCTGGGCTTTCTTAAAAATCAACATTCAAAATTGTAGCAATGTTTTAAAGTTATTTTTCAACCGACGAAGATTCTCGGAAATATTCACTTGCATCATCTAAAAAGAAAAATGCATTATTTGTATTCAGGTCTAAGCAATCTAAGCATAATACTTTATAATTATGACACACTTAGATGATTAATAAAAAACATATATATATATATATATATAATATTTCATATATACATAGAGATTTACGAGACATATATAATGTGAATTTAGACTTATTAATAAAATATTGCTTAAAATGATTCTGTTATATGATGGAAATAAATGCTAAGAAATTTTTTATTGATAAATAAAAACTGGACAATGCAAAATGTATTTCATTAAGATAATGTTCCATAAATACAAATAATTTCTTATGTTTATTTTTATGTTAATATAGGCTTGGCATCCTTTTATTCATTGGTAAAACTTCCAGCGTTTCGCACTTAAAATGTTATTATACATTTCACACAAGATATAAAAGTACAATTTATACGAAATTCTTGAAGGAAGTAAGGTGCGTTGATGATGAATGTTTTTATATATGAAGACATGACCACAGTAATGTAGGTCAATTTTTCAAATATATATTCAAGAAATGTCTGAAGATATAGGATGTAGGTCAGAGCAACTGCCAGGTGCAAGGGATATCCGTAAAGAATAAAGAGAAATAACCAGGAAAAGATATACAACAAGCCCGACGGAGATAGAAACCAATAGTGAGAGATTATTTGCAGTAAAATTTATTGCTTTTCATAGAAATTTTCTGCTTAAATATTATTCCATACACACATACACACACACACAAACACACACGCGCACACACACATATATATATATATATATATATATATATATATATATATATATATATATATATATATATAACAAAAGTGAATTTTTAACGATGCATTTCGCTAAGAGAGTCTGCTCTCTGGCATTTTCAGGGGAAAATATGGGCTTCCAACTGAACCTATATAAACTGAGGAAGGCAAAGTTATCGAAGTCTCTTGGCGAAACACGTCGTTAACAAACTTTACATTTTGGTTCATCATCTTCACTTTTGTTTATGATACTGTTAAACCCACACATATTTGCACATACAGACATATTACTATGAAATATAACTTTTTCCTCAGCGTTAACACAACTTTGCCTGAAACAAATACTTGTGCTACTGATGTGCTACTGATGAGGAAATATATATATATATATATATATATATATATATATATATATATATATATATATGCATTTAGCAGTGTGGAAATATATATATATATATATATATATATATATATATATATATGGAAAGAACAAACAAAAATCCTAATATGCAATTAGGCTGTTTTAATGTTAATATAATGTCAACGTCAGACGTTTCGGTCTAGTAGACCATCTTCAGTACATATTCATTAGACTATATTTAATTCAACATGAAAAGACGATGGACATAAGAGTAAGACTAATCAAAACAGATAAGTGAAATTTTTTCAAGATCTGCGTTCCGTTTCAATATGATCACGTGATGATGTTTTTCTTCATACTGTCGGATCTATATCCATATATTTGTATATATATATATATATATATATATATATATATATATATATATATATTTATTTTCCTCGCAGGTCACACAAGTTGTATATCCTTGCTTAAACCGGCTTCTAATGCTCTGAGTGGAGCGACTTGTAGGTAGAAGTCATGGCTCGTGGGTGCATAGTCCTATGGTTAAAGAAAACTCGGATGAAGTACACCACGGAGTTTGTGAAGAGCGGAGCGATGTCGTAGCCTAATTTGTTACCTCGTCGTCATCGAGGCCCTTTGGTATATTTGGTATGACCTTTGCCTAATATCGTAAGTGTTCGTGTTTCAATTCTCGGCAGTGGATGTGCAATGCTGATGAGTTCCAATTATAGTATGAAACGGCCGTCCAATGCTTTCTGTATTCTATTGAGCTTTCTTCTCGACTCGATGAATTACATAATTATTGTTATTATATATATATATATATATATATATATATATATATATATATATATATATATATATAAAGCATTCAAATAAATTATTGCTCTGTTAATATACAGCTAGGCTTTATTATTAGCACTGTTATTTGGCTCTCTTAGCGTTAGAGCTAGACAGGAGGAGTCAGGTACTTTCTCGTACAGGGATTCAATGATTTTTCAGCGTCTTCAGTGATGTTTGTTATATACAAGTTTCTTTTTGAAGTTTGGTGACAGTTCGAGTTCCAATAGATGTTCTGGTTACGGAGCCTCATATACATATATAGCATGTATCAAAAATACATTTACAAACTTTGGGTCGGGTCCCTCACGCCAAATCAATGGCTATGGTCCATATAAACATATGTCAGTTTCGTTTTTGAGTTATTAAGTTTCAAGAAACATTATGGTAGATAACATTGTGTTGCCACATAGATAAAGCGACATTTGTCTTTCGTCTACATTTGTGGCTAGTATGTCTTCAATATTTTACGTGTTTAATAGTGAGGTAACTGAGAATTGTTCCGTTTAACAATGGTAGGATATTCATATCGTGAGCAGGCAGATATAATTTTTTCTTACAGTCGCATTAATGGTAATGGACGCGAGCCTGCACGGCTTTGTTCCATTGCGTTTTCAGACGGAAGGCAGCCGAGTCATTCAACCTTTGCTACTGTTTATCATCGCGATGCGTGGCACCACAAACTATAGATCAAGAAATACCGAGATCCGCCCGTACGCCTGCTCACGAAGAACACATCCTACAAGATGTCGGAGACGATCCAGGTATCAGTATACGTCGTGATCCTAGCCTGTCGCATATCTCATTGTGCCGCATGGAAGGTACTTTAATAGCAGTTCCTGTATCCCTATCATTTGCAACCTGTGAAGGCTCTTTCACACTCTGATTATTCACCACTCAGAAGATTTACCGATGGTGTACTGCCGATCCCTTCAGTCTTGTTTACAGAAGAGGTAACATTTGGAAGAGATGTAATAACAAATTATCACAAACAACATCTGTGGATTGATCGGAAACCCCATAGTACAATACCGGCTAAACACCAGCATCATTTTAATATTAACATAAAATCTGGAATTCTAGGTCCGTATTTTCTTCTGGCACGTCTTATAAGAGCTGTCAACGGGGAATTTATTTCGAACACACCAGTCAAATGATGTACCTCGGCTACCACGAAGACGCATGTAGTTTATGCATGATGGGGCCCCAGCAAATTTTAGTCAAATTCTTCACTGGGCACTGTATGATATCTACCATGAGAGATGGATAGATTATGAAAGAACGGTTCTGTGATCTCCACGTTCCTCAACCGTCAATCCTTTCGATTTTTATCTTTGGGCACACCTAAAACATTTGATTTATGCAGCAGACGCTAATAATACAGAAGCGCTTCATGAAGCTGGTATGGTTGGCTGCAAAAATATTCGACACCGTGTGGGTGTATTTGAAAGATTTCGACATTCAGTGATTCAACTGTTGTATGCGTATGCAGAAGCAAGCGAAAGGCATTTTGAACATCTGTTATGAGTTTCTGCTTTAAGGTCTAACGATCACCTTTTGACACATGTATATGTAGACATATTACCTTGTTGTATATATATATATATATATATATATATATATATATATTAAATTAATTGATTTAAAATATTTTTTTTCGCTACACAGTTCTAACCATGTTTCAAAAATGGAAGCTAAAAGCCCTGAATTTACTGTTCTTACTTTTTATATATATATATATATATATATATATATATATATATATATATATATATATATATATGTTGAAGCTTGGATAAGCATGGAATAATAATAATACAACACAAAATGTACGTAAACAAAATGTATTGAAACAAGGAAAAGGTACACAATATTTACAGTTAGTTTTGGTATATTCTTGGGAAGACGGTTCCTGTAGAATGGGTTGACTTAATCGCAGTCGGGCAGAGTCTCTCGATTCGATCTCTTCTTCCTTCTTCCGTCTTCCGGTACCAACCCATATTTATATCGGTCGGTACTCCACTATGTAAATTAGGTGGATCGTAATATATATATATATATATATATATATATATATATATATATATATATATATATATATATATAAAAAATCTGTTTGAATTTATGCTGCCTTTAAGGGTAAACATTTTTAATTTCAGGGATAGTTCATTTATAAATATAACAGTGTTCATTCACGTCAACATAGAGTGGTGGCAGTCTGACTCCTGCATAACCACAATATTCACACCTGGAAATTGCGATCAACTGTGAAGCAGATTGTCTCGCGTCGTTCTTGACATGTTTCCACACTTAAACGCACACACACAAATATATATATATGTATACATGTACACACACTCACACACACACACACATACATATATATATATATATATATATATATATATATATATATATATATTAATGATAGAACAAATGTTTGCATATTGATTAATGATTGTATATTCTGAGATTCATGACATCAATTTCGTATATTTTCAACATTTTTTATTGGAAATATGGAAAATATTCAAGATTTTCAAATATAAAGACAGTATTTTTTGCATATATAATCTTTTTGAGATCTTGATTGTGAATATTACAAAAATAAAATTTCTGTAAAGTAAGTTATGTTGATACTGCCATAAACTGTCTGGTATTCATCGTCTTGCTTTCGACAATACAGACAGGTTCTAGCCACATAGATGTACAAATGTCGCAAATAGATATGTCAGCGTAGTTGTGCAGTGGGTAATGTGTCGGTATGTTACGAGTATCCCTGCATAAG